CCTTGCTCAGGACTCGAGTGATGCCGTAGCGTAGCGCAAAGAGAGAAGGGTGGACGATGTTCAGAACCTGGTCGTTTGAGCCAGGGTGGTAGTCCTTTTGCTTCTCGGGGACGTTCAACAGCGGCGCAACCCCGGCTTTCAACTCGTCCGTGAGTTCGGGGCTGATGACGTCGTCGCCCTTGACGCATCGGCTGGCCGTGTCGTAGACCAGAACCGCACCAGTGGCCTCAAACGCGGCTGCCTTGTCGCGGAGCTCTTCAACACACCAGTCCCAGGCCTTTTGGCTGATGAGCTCGTCGATGGCGCTGGCCTCGGCGAACCACTTGCTGGTGATGTCGTCGTCAAAGATCTTGACTTGCCAATTCAGCTTGTCCGTGATAGCGTCCATGAGACGCATCATGGCTCGTTCGCGGACTGTCAGGATGTGGGCACACCAGCCGTTGATGCCATGGCTGAAGGGACCGCTTTGCCCCGGGTTGGAGTATGCGGTTTCGCCGGGCTGACATTCTTCGTCGAACATGACATTGTTGAAACCCGGAACTCGTATAGGACCATTTCCAGAGTTGTCAAACGCATGCTTACTGACAGTATCCGAGGGAGCCATGCCGTCAAACGAGGTGAACGTACGTGGGAGGAAGGAAGGGATCCGAAAGTATGAGAGTGTCTTGTGGAGGTAAGCCCGCATGTGTATCGTGTTGGATGTTGAGAAACAAGACGATAGTTCCTAGTGTATACGTTGACCTTTTATGCTGAGGCGACACCCCTCGTTCTCAGGATTCTTCGCCAATAGCCTCCAGGCTGCAGCTGTGGGTCGGGTCGTTACAAGTCAAGGATGTTGAAGCTTGAGTGGTGATTTTTCATGATCAAGGCGGAGGAGCACGTGGTTCAGCGCGCGTCGTGACACCCGCCGACATCGCGAGGAGGGGAATTGTTGCCTGCGGCTGAAGGCCCGTGCAGGAGCTGAAAACGCCCCTTTTGTCAGATACATTGCGTATCACCCGTTCCTGAATTATCGTTATGCCGATCTCTTATAGATGCATTGTTCCTCCTTTCGGTATCGAATCAAGCCGTAATTCCCTCTTCCTGCTCGATCTGCTCTTTTCCCAGGCACCATTTGTCCTGCAGCTTCTTGTCGAGTGTCTGTGCGTACACCTCCTTTGGCCACCATTCACCCCAACTAGTCAGGAAAATCTGTTCGGGGTCTTCCGGTAAGTCGTCGCGGTCCAGCGCGCGCAGGATATTCTCGGCGCCTTTCGCCCATGTCAGTGCCTCGTTACGATGATCTGATCAGGTCTTGGAGGGGTCAAGCGGCCACACACCTTCGGGAATGGTCTTGGCATCAGGCAGACCAGCGGGGATCATTCCTCCGCCCCGCCCCAGGCCCGTCCCTGGGATGAGACCTGGCGAAACAGCCACGACGGTGCATTGTCCGGTGAGTTGTCGCCGCCACCATTGCGCTGCCAGAAGGTTCACAAGCTTGCTCTGGCAGTAGACTGTGAACGAATTGGCTCCCGATCCGCCGAGCAGGTCCTTGTCGAGCGCACCTGGCCGTGGAGCATTAGCAGATGTTTGCACAAAAGGGCAATTCCGGCAGAGAGCCTACTGATTTCAGGAACATTTCGCACTGCACCCGAGGAGACGAAGACGACACGTGATTGGGAAGCGACCAGCTTTTCACGTAATTGGTGCAGGAGGTAGTGTTGTGCTTTCGCTGGTCAGCAGTTCGTCTTTCACCTTGAGGTGCAGGGAACGTATACGTACAAAGATGATTGACGATGTAAGACTCGCACCACTTGGATCCATGGGGGCCAGGCTCCTCGGCGCTGTTGGAGATGGCGGCATTGAGCAGCACGTAGTCGACCTTCTGCTGGCCCAACGTCTCGAGTGTCTGTTGAGCAAAGGTTTTCACACCCCTGAGGTCTGCGAGCTCCAGAGGCAGGACCGTGACATTGTGCTTGGACTCGTCGAATTTGAGGCCCCCAAATGCCTTCTGGGCAACCTCAGCGTTCCGCGCGCCTAGGATAACGCGGTAGGGCTGGGTTTGCTGGAGAAGCTGTTTGATAGCTTCGAACCCCTGAGTAGGTGTCTGTTAGTTCGCGTCCAGGATTCTAGCATTCCCTGCCTTGCTTGGGGACCTCCATTGTGGTCCTGCGCAGGGCACGACTCACGAGTCCAGAAGAGACGCCCGTAGCGACGATGGTTTTCGCAAGTGCAGACATGGTGGGGGAAAGACCAGACGCTGAGATGATCGCAACAAGCTTGAATGAGCAAGCTGAACCTGGGGAAGCTCAGTCTTTAACATGAAGCTCGACTGGGAATGTGGGGCTACACAGATCCATGGACGCGGACTTAAGCCCTGGAAAAGCCCCCATGAGTCCATGACGCATGCAGTTCACCAAATAAAGCTCTGCGACGCTGACCAATGCAGGAAAGCGGCACAACGGCAATCTCACGTCAGAAAAGACAGGCAGTGATTTCATTTGCAAGGAAACAGCCAGAGTAGCGGGTGAGACATGGGCGCCCTGGATTGGTGTAAGCCGACTGCATGAAGCGTGCCCCACCAACAACCAATGTAAAGGCGACTGGCAGATCTGTGTTGCCATAGTCACCGCAAATGTTAATACCCAATTCCCACTTGCAAGCAATATAAGTTGAGGGGGCTTTAAGTTCTGCTAGTTAGTAGAACCTGGATTTCCTCGGAGTGACTGGGCGTTACTTGTGACCTTGGAAAATGAAGTTTGAAATACAGCGGTTGTGATCACGAGAATGAATCCACTTACGACATTGCACTACGAACAGTCCCGAGTATAGATGGTGTGAATCCTCAGTTTCATTCGTTTCGCGTTGCTGATATACTTTCTGTAGTGACTTCCTTGGGCAATGGATATGCATAGTTCTTCTCCATTGATACCACTGTTGTCGGAGCAAAGGGCCAAATCTTCCCTTTCGCTCTTGCACGGTCATCCATTTTTCAGAGCCAGCACTCAACGACGGATCTCATGATATTCAATGGCGTCCCTGGAGGTGTATTTTCCAATAACACCCTGCCGTCCGGCCGACTCATCGTTGCCCATGGCGAGAGAGCCTGCTTTGCGAGGACACATGCAAGCATCGTTGTCACAAACAGAGTTGCGGATAGGATTCCATCGATCGCAACTGACAGGATCCTGGTCGCGGCTCTCGATATTGTTCTTGCACTGCCAGTGCTTGAGGTCAGCGTCTCCGTACTTGGTCTGACGCATTTTGAGGGTGTCTTTTGATATGTTTAGGTCTGCTTGAAAGGGTTGGAGTTTGTCGTTGCTGTGATTTTTGGTTCTTGAGAGTATTTTCTTGTGGTTTTGGTGTTGAACTTGAGAGTAGTTTCTTTATTGTTTGGTATTAATCTTCAGAAACCTGAAATCCAAGATACTATTTTATACATCCTAGCGAAATCTTGGTAGCTTGGGTGAATGGCTAGAGAACGCCCTTTGCTGGTGATACCGATCTGAACTGGTGAATGGAGAACCAACAATTCACACTCTGAGCCCGTATGAATGTCTGGCATCTTGGGGTACGTCAGGTCCGGAATATTGTCATCACAGCTTACTGAGTTATGGTTGTTCTTGTTTTAGTATTCAGTAGTTGGTCTGCACTCAAACTTGCAGCAGGCCGCATCAATCAGATTAATTGCTTGACTCAGTCAAAATTCAGTCCCTGTCTTCTATGGCAAGCACCTGAACCCTAATCTTTGACAAGAAATCGACACACACAGCCGTTGTAATGACTGGGAATAAATGATGGAATAGTCACTGTCACGGGTTAGACCCGTTGAAGTTGTGTAGGTCTGGGATCTGTAACTCTATGAATGCGGCCCAGTTGAATCAACGCCGTATCTTTTTTTCTCAATTGGGTAGCTGTCGTAAGGCGCTTACGACTGTATGAGGGCTGTCCCTAAGCCCTTTTAGAGCCGGCCACAACAGTCACTTACGTGTTTGACGTTTTACCGAAGGACACAGTACAATGGCAACGATGGGAGCAGTAAGTTGACAGGAATTGCGTCGGTTGTAGTCAGAATTAATATTTCGGGGATTTCATTGACTCTTTCTGCTGAAGAATAGCCAGACCCTATGGCTCAGCAACATCTTCTAGTCACTGCTTTCCGTTGCTCACTAAGATTCACCTCGCTGTAATTATCCTGATCTGCGAAGTTACGTCTTATTGCACCGCAAGCACTTCGTTTATGAGACTCTAAAAGCTTCGTACTAACTGTATAGCCTGAGCCAGAGTTAGCCAAACTGTCTTACGATTGGCATGATACCTTCGCATCCGACGGATACTTAACACACCACTACAGGCTTCGCAGACTTCCGTCGGCTGTTCTTGAGATCGACCTGCATGCTTCTCAATCCGACTGCGGGGTCTCTGCAAACTGCTCCAGGAAATGATCCTTTTCGTGGGGTAATCCAGCGGTTAATAGGCTGATTCGTGGCGATTGGCGAGCAAATTCGCCGTATTGGGGCATGATACCCCCAATACTACTCAGCTCGGTTCATCTATGAACGAGACAGATCTTCCGAGCGACCAAGGTGGGAGAGTGTAACTAGTTACGTGCTCGGGATCCAGAAGTTTAAAAACACTGATTTCCGTCTAGCTGGGCCGAACTGTCCATGACTCGGCTCGAGCCGAATTCCCCATCCATAGTCGCCAACATGAAACGTTCGCTGACTTTTCTCATCCTCTGCCTGGCAGTGCTTTGTCTCGGCAAGAAATCATGTCGGTCTGACGACGATTGTAGCCTGAACGGTGTTTGTTCCTGCAATATGGGCTGCGTCTGTGATCCAGGCTGGCGAGGTGTTGACTGTAGCGAGTTGGATCTCCAGCCTGTCGAAAGGTACACAGGTTATAACTACACCAACATCACCATGGACTATTACTATCGCGACGGAGGCGGAAACTCCTCTTGGGGCGGCCACATTATCCAGGATCGAGAGGATAAGAAGCTCTTCCACCTGGTCATCGCCCAATTTCCCTACGGCTGCGGCCTCTCTGGATGGCGGCCTTTCAGCACGGTGATCAGAGCTGAGTCTCGAACTGGTCCTCGAGGTCCATATCACTTTGCACAGGAACTGTTCAGCACCTTTCATCACAACCCAACGACGATATGGAGCCCCGCCGACGAAATGTACCTCATGTTCTTCATCGGATTTCCTTGGGAGGTTCCCGACACCTGCAAGTCGACTAAGAGGAACAACACGATTTCCGTTTCTAGTTCGCCTGACTTGCGTACTTGGGGCGAGTCCTACCCTTTAGTCGTGAATGTCACGAACCCTGCTGGTTGGCCTCTCTGGACGCCGGAAAATCCAACATCGGAAATTCTCTTGGCCGCTGAAAAGAACAACATCTACCATTCTGACAGGTGGAATGGACCGTACGAGCTCAAGGTAGAACCCGGCAACATTGAAGTTCACCCCAGTCTCCGCAGCGAAGACCCGTTCTTGTGGCGCGATAAACGGGGTCATTGGCACATCCTTCAGCACCACATGATCGATATCCCTGAGGCAAAAGGCCCTCACGTTGGGGCCCATGCCTATGCCAGAGAGTGGGAGGGTCCGTGGACATATAACA